GATATGTATTAGGCAAAGTGTGGTCCAAAAACTAGGTGTCACTTTGGGCTAAATCATGCCTTTGGTTTGTTTAAAGCAGTTAGTCGCTGTCAACATCTAGTGGTCGGCTTGTTATGGCCCATGGAAACAAATAAAAACAAAGGCTTTGGGCTCCGCCAAATTTAAATTATGGCCCGTAATGAAAATCGGTCTAATTATGAATTTCATCACTCTAGTTTATAAGATGAACAACTTGATCTCTTTACTTTAATATATCAGAATATGATCCTTGTACTTAACAAAGTTGAGAAACTAACTCCTATGTTGACATACAAATGAACTTGAACTATTGATTTATGTCATTCTTTAGACATATATGATCGTTTTATCGATATATAATCAGTAGTTAGCAACCATGCTTATTAATAGTGTAAAGTAGGCCAGAGATCAATGAACTTTTAAAATTATAAAATAGTCATTATATTTATCAAATATTACAAAACGGTTACTGCAATGCTAAATAATTTAGTGATCATTTTTATATAGATGATAAAATTTAATCATTTTATAATTTCAGTTAAATTTAATAATTATTATATAAATTAAAAAAATAAATAAAAATCATCATTTAAACATAATTCAGTACTTTTTCTATACTATACCCTTAATAATAAAAACCTAATTAAACTAACATTTGGGTGATCAAATCGACCAATAAATAAATAAATAGAAAGAAAACAGTGGACTAAGAGTCTATTATATATAAATGGGGTTTGAGTGAATATCGATATCCAAATCCCTAAGCAAATGCAAGTATATTGTCGTATGAAAATCATAGGCAAATGAGGGACCAGCGTTCCACTATCGCTCTAGCAATGTCTCATCAACATAACTAAACTATAACGACAAAATAAAAAAACAAACGACGATATCTTTACGAGACGGTCGATATCTACATGTAATCGAAAGTCCAAGATCACATAGCCGTTAAGAACTGAGATTTTGTTTCAATATAGAGGAATAAGTGAAGAACATTGTAGATAGATATAGACATCAAATCAACACGATTTTTGACTCAACTCGATTTATAGGGTCAATTCCCCCCCCCCCCCCCGAAAAAATATGTTTAAGTTGGGTTGGGTTCTATTTTTTAAGGATAAAGTCAGATTGAGCTTAAGTGTAGGATGAAAATTTAATCAAATCCGATTCGAGAATAAATATAATTGGTATTTATATTTATAGATAATTGTTAATAACCTCTCTCTCTAATTTTCAATTAGATTTATAGTTTACATAAAAATGAGAATATATATAAATGTCAGTTTATATACATATGTTCTTATCATAGAAATCGAGTCGAATTCAAGTGAGGAGTGGAGGGATATAATACTCCTGTCGGTTCAGGCTAGTCAAAAATTTGATCCGACCCATGCATGCCCTTAATTGTATAAGAGAGGGAAAAGAATGGTGGCCAAATTAATATTTTGTCTAACGTTTAAAGATCAAGTTAAAAATTAACATTTTTATAATGTGTCATGCTATCAAACTAATAAAATTTAATAGTTTAATAATCAAAAAAAAAATCGATAATGTAAATGACTAAAACTTATATTTTTTGAAAAAGTTAATGACTAAAATAAATAGACTTAAAATAAAAGTGACATTGAGTGTAATTTACCATAAATAAAAATGTATGGATCTGTCCATTCCCACACCATTCTTAAGACCCACGAAAACCCTAAAATTTTGTATTTCTGAAGACCCTTTAATGACCAGGAAACCTGGTATCACTGCCATTATTATTTTTCCATATTAGGGACCTAATTGCAAAGGTTTGACCGAGAGATTAAAGTGGGATTTATCATTTTTTAATACCATATGGACATCAAGTACTATCACCTTGTTATATAAGTATTAATATTATTGGTCCATGTGTGCTATTTTTATCATATCATGCTCTATGTCATAATATCAACTTTAATTCGGACGGTACCAACCATTCAAATTAACAAGGATAAAGTTTACAACAACAACAACAATAATAATAATGAATAAATTATAAAAAGTAAGCATAATTGAGAACAATAACATGGCATACACCAGATTATTAATTAGATTAAGGCGATCATCATCTACCTAACCTAACACGCCAAATACCTCCTGCCCATAATTAGTTGTAAATTTCTGTCCTTAAATTAACTTAAATTTCTGTATAATTCTGCTCCATATCCTTTTACTTTTTGTGCTTTTGAAATTTAGTCCATATGCTCTTTCACTCTTTGAACATTTGAAATTAATTTATCTACAAATATTTTACTTAATCTCTAAATAATAAACCTTATACTTTTAATTCCTTAATTTTATTAGCCTCCTTATTTGGCTGATTCAGAAATTAAAGTCTAATCGAGAATACTGTGTTTTCAAACCGACTTTTATTAAATTTTAATGCAATATCAATATCAATTGAATATTTTAAACTAATCTTGTGGATATTGAAATTAAACCGACTTTAATTATTTCATATCAGACGAGTAGAGACTAAACTTTCGAAAGTTCAAAGAGTATTAAGGACTGAAAGTAGAATTAAATCTTTATTTATTATATTTTTGAAGAGAAGAATCAAAGGGTGAGCAGGAATAATTGAGGTGGGGTGTTGGAGGAGGTGGGAGGATCCCTTGAAATACTACAAAATCCATTTGTTCCTCAACCCTTACCTTTTCCTTTTTCAAACTTTATAATTAAGCTATGCTGCCCACCACATGGCCCTGCAACTCCTGCTTATGCTCCACACACCATTAGCTCATGGAAAACATACATGAAATTGAGCCCTCCAGAATAAATCTCGGTGTATATATATATATATATATATATGTTACATGCATATAGTTCAATAAGAACGGTGGTGTAACAGAAATATTGAACACATATATTTTGCGAATTTTAAATATACTTCATATTAAATCTGACGAAAAGTAACAAAAAGAATTATGAATATTTTGAGGACCCCGTTGAAATATTTAAAAACGAAGGAGTGGGATTTGCTAGAGCATTGGGGGATGGGGTGCACTCTCTATAGGGATTCCCTCTCCCAATATTCAAAGGGGGGAATGTTTTCACGTATAGTGATGTGGAATGGAATAATTTCATATGTAGTGTCCCTTTTCTTGAACTTCTCAACTTATTCTCATCATCATCTCTTCACCTCCATGTCTCGTTCTTGGATTTTGAATATTTGTGCTCCGTTAACATACATTCCTTTTCTCCTATTCTTTTATTCCATTAAAATACTAGTTAATTTCAATGATAGACCACACCCCATCACGTGCAAATTTCGTCAAGAAATGAAACATTATAAAAGGTTTAGTTTTTGCCCCGGTCCTTAAACTCTCTGAACTTTTAAAATGTAGTCCCTCAACTTATTTGGGTTGAAAGTAAAAATATCCAACCACTGAAAACGTCGAGGGAACTTTCAACTTATTTAAACGAATATGAACCAAATAAGAATACCTTCAAAAATAAAGAAATAAACACAATTATAACATTATTTATTCAAGCTCGGTTCATTTACACCCTTATTTAAATTTAAAGAAAAGTAGGTTAATAGTTACAAATGATTGGACCTTAATGTTCAAAATCAAATAGTAAAGAGACTGAAGGCAGAATTAGACAATTTAAAGGGGGCATTCTTTCTTGTAATGCTAAATCACATAGAGAGAGAGAGTCATCCATATTTCATAGTAATATTTCAAAGCTTCAACACCCATTCAACGAAGACTCAACCTTGCCACCTGCTCCTTGTCTTAGTTTCATCGATTCCTTTAGCCTAGAACAGATGGAAATGTTGAGTAGCTACGAGAAGATGGTCACTATCTCTTCAACTAGCAATGAATGGTCACAGGTTTCTCTCTTTCTCTCTCAATCAATCAATTATTTACGCAGAAACATGACCCCATTCTTTGTTGCTTTGCTTTTGGAAGAGTATCTACTTTGTGTCGTCCTCTTTTTACCCTATTAACACCCCTGCTTCATCTCTTTCTTTCCCCTTCTCTTGCTGCAGACCCTGATGGAGAAACCAAGCCAAGAACAGCGGCAACAAGCACTCAAGTGTCCTCGCTGTGATTCGTCCAACACAAAATTCTGCTACTACAACAACTACAGTTTATCCCAGCCCAGACACTTTTGCAGAGTTTGTAAGCGTTATTGGACAAGAGGTGGCACTCTAAGGAACGTTCCTATCGGCGGCGGATGTCGGAAGAACAAGCGTGTTAAAAGGAAAGTTTCTTCTTCTTCTTCTACTTCGTCTTGTTCAGCTTTCGGTGGTACTGGAACGGGTGCTTCTTCAACTGCAAATCCTATCCCTCCATTGTCTTCAACCTCAAGTACTCACCCTTTGTTTTATGGGTTAGCTAATGACCCTTCTGTGGATTTAATCAATCTTCCTTATCAGCCAAGTATGAGTGCTCTTGGATTAGGGTTTTCTTCTGGGGACAGTATTGATCTTTACCAGAATAACCCACTCCTTTCGAGCTATTCAAATATCTTTGGGTCCTCATCTTCTTCTATCACTACACCCACCATTGCGTCTCTTTTAGCTTCCACTCTTAACCAGCACAAATTCAACAACAATGGTGGTGTTAAAAACACTGAAGCCTTAGCACCTTTCCAAGATCTTCAAATGATTAGTAATGTCGAAAATGGAATAACCATGAAAGATGCCAAAGTACCATGCCAGAATCAGCTTGAGCAAATTGGTTTATCCGATCCAGCAGTTTATTGGAACACAAATATGGGTTCCTGGCATGATCCAACAAGCATCGGGTTGATCTAGCAAAAGAAAAAAAGTAGAACACTTCTTCAAATTTTCTCCCTCTTTATCGAGTCTTATTTTCTTTTTATTTTCCCCCCTAGGCACTTAGTTTCTATATAATCAAAATGGTGTGGGATTTGGGAATAAATCTAAAGTTGAGTACTGATACAAGCATGGGAGAAGATTGGATCGGAGCGATCATGTCAGCTGCAATAATTCAGCCTGGAGTTTTATTATCGAAAAGGTTGGGAAACCCTTGTTTGCGCTGAGAGGAACCTCGGATCCTCTTCTTCGAAGGTATACTCTATGTTACTCGGACTCTTGAAGGAGTCCAAGAAACATAGAGTATATATCATCTTCGTCACCATCTGGCATTATTTCGAAGAGAGAGACTTAGCTGATCATTTTGCTGCAACTTTTTTAATCCAGTAAGTTTGTTTTCTATTTTGTATGTATATATATATATATATTGCATGACGTATTCTTATTGTTAGGTTAGGTTTTGGGGGGTATATGTTGCAGTCCTCGCTATAAACACTAGATGAGGATCTCATTTTCCTTTTCATTTTGAGGCTTTTGGGGATTTGGGGTATAACTAATAATATTTATATAGAAGAGAGGGAGATTTGTGCCTGCAAACTTGAGCAATTAAATTTACTGTGTGACTGGTCTATGTTTACGAATTTCTCGTTCTTGGTGTGTCCGTTAGTAATCATTTTCAAATCGTTTGTTAAATGAAACTGTTGGCTAAACTCGAAGGAGCTTGACCAACTGAAAAACTTTCGTGTGACATGTTTAAAACTCTCATGCATTCACAGGTCCAGAAAAGTGTACACTGCAACATGTATGAGCATTACATATATAGAAATGTATCAGTGCCGTTGTTTTTCATGTGGATGGGTTTATTTGTAGTTTAAGGGTTTGGATTGTAGTTGCTGTAGATATTCTCTGCCTGCTGGTTTTAAGAGTATGTAGCGCATAATACTAAATTACAGCCACATCGTATTGGTTTTCCAACCCACTCCGACATTTTAATCACATCGGCAATTTAAATATGTAGTTATTTTAGAAAACAAATATAACTGTAAGGTTCATATCACTCGCACTGCAACCGCATCCGTAACTGCAATTTAGTACTATGATTTATCGGTGTAAGAGTAGAACACTGAAAGAAAAGAGCTTCAGACAATGAGAAACAGTTGAACTATGGCAGGGAGAAGATTGAAAGTCCACCACTACCACTTGGATTTTAGCAGCTTGGCTGCTTCCAACGACAATACCGATTCCTTTACCACTTTTCTCCCTCGGTGTTTGTTTTGTTTTGTTTCTGTGAAATTTGCGCTAGAAAGAAGAGAAAGGGAAAGATCGATGGCACATGGGGACCTACAGATCTGGGTTAAGATATATTTATGTTAAATTCGTTATTAATTTATCGAATTCTGATTAAATTCGATATTAAGAACATCAAGTCCATTAGTAATTAAGTTTGATTTAATATTATTTTGATTCATGTCAAATAAATATTTAAATTTAAAAAATATAAAAAATTATTAAATATTTAATCAAGTAGAGGTCGAATTAAAGAATGATAAGTTTGTGTTCTCAAATTTTTAGTCTAATTATAATTTAAGTCGTTGTAAGTTTAAATATTAGACATATTAGAAGTTGTCTTTTGAGTTTTTTATTAATATAGGGTGAATACAAGGTAATATATTTACAAATACTTTCAACTATTTGTCAATGAATGCTCATACCCTTAGATACGTGCTTGAAGTCGGGACTTTAAAGATAACAACAATTCCTTAATCACTGAGATTGCTTGGTTCATACTGAATTTCAAGTTTAAATACTTAATCAGTCTTTATATTTTTTTAAATAATCTAATACTTCGGCTTCTATCAATATTTAATTCTAACTCCGTATGTGGGTATCCACATGTAGGCGAACTCAGCTTTGCACTTCCATAAATATGAATTAGACGCTCATGACTCGAAAGTACATATAACCGAGTTTTATGAGTATTCGAATTTCATGAATCGAGTTGGATGTATGACATCTCAAATATCTGAACATGCAACGCATAATAACGCTATAATGGACACTCTAAACCAGAAACCAAATTAATGCAAACCCCTAAAGATAAAGCTACCCTAATTGATGTACCTTTGAAATTAGGACGGTGTGCCGTGTAACATTAAAGCCTAGGAAATTTAATCACTCATTTATCTGCTAAATATAGTACTACATAGGTGGTCGAGCTATTTACTGCCATTGATGGCCTGCTCAGCTTCCCCACTAATGTCCCATTGCTTTCAATTCGTTGATAACTTGTATCATACGTGAATCTGTAGTGGGCGTCCCTCTATTGTCTGGGGGACCAGTTTGTTCATCATCTTTTAACTACTCTTTCACCTTAAATTATTTTTGGAGGTAAATATTCAAACAAGGATATAATATTTTAGGGTTGCTCGCATAAGAGTTTGATCTTTTAAAAGGGTGGATTAAAAACATAATATTTCTGTATATATTCAAATAAGGGTTGAACCTTTCACAACAGTTTAATAAGAGTTTAACTTTTTTAAATTTGTGCAAATAGATATTAATTTTAGAAAACGTTCAAAATTTTAAAATACTATACCCTTATTTTTTTCATACTAAAAAAATGATATGCCCTTATTCGATATTTTTAAAAGGTTAAACCCTTATCTGCACATATTAAAATGTTGTGCTTATTCGGTCGTTATGAAAGGTTAGATCCTTATGTAAGCACTATAAAAAAGATTAACAATTTTTTAAACAAAACGAAACCCTAATCTATGTTATTCGTTAAACAAAAAGCAATTGATTGCTTGTGGTTGAGCTGTTGTCTGCATTAATTCGGTGTTTTATAAATAGGGACGATTAAATAATCTGAATTCAAGACGTTTTAAATAATTAGTTATTTAATAAAAAATTTCCACAATAATTATTTAGTAATTTAAACTTTAGATTTCAATATTATAATCCATTCCTTTAATGTTTATGAAATATATTAAAATAATTTAAATTCCATAGATTTCGTTTCAATCTAATTTTAGAAATAAATTTATATATTCATATGATATATTATTCTATTTTTTTAACTGTTCATTTTCAAATTTGGTTAACACGGAGTTTTATTACTTATTGTCTTCATCTTTATATTGCATTTAAATTTGTGATTTAATCGCTGCTATTTAAATTGGCATACTTTTTTTTGGTTATTTTATTGGTTTCAAGGTTTCGTCTTGATTAATTCGTACTGATCTACGTCGCATACCTGATTTTGATAGGCGAGTCTCCCAAAAAAGATTTTCTGCATGCACAAGGATTCAAACTTGAGACATTGCTTAAAGGACATCAATCTGCTTACCACTTGAACCAACATCTGTCGATTAAATTGACATAATTTGATCACGTCATTAGTTAGTCTAAATAATTAATTGTTTCTGGTAAGTCAGAGGTAGAGTTAGAAATTTAAAAATATGGTGTAATAATTTTAAATTATAATATTTAAATAAAATTTTATCAATTTCTTCAGAAATATAGGATAATTTTTTTAGGAGTGTTAAAACCTTTTTAAAAAGGTGCCATTCATTTTTAATTATATTATACATATAAATATTATATAGAATTTTTTCTTTTAAAAATTTTGGGATGTTATTTGACACACCTCATCCTATGCTAAGTAATAATAATAGTAAATATATATATATATATATATATATATATATATATATATATTCTTAAAAACATACCTATTACCATCTATTTCACTATGTTTTCTATCCAAAAAAATCACCATGTTGACATGGATTTTATTTATTTATTTTGGAATGGATGTTTTCAAGAAAAATCTATGATACCTTTTTAATCGAATTAGTTTATTATATATTATTATTATTATTATTATTAAAAAATTATAGTGCAATATTAATAAAATTACAAAATGGACCAAATAAGTTCACATAAAGTCATAAACCAATAATTTTCTATAATTGTTTAATAAATCCCCCAACTTTCATAAAATTATAAAATGACCCAAATAACTTTCTAAAGCTTGTAGAACCTTTCAAACATCATTTTTAAGCCTAGGAAAATTTTCATAATTTTCCCTAATTAATTCCTTAGGGCCGAATATCATAGTGGTTAGGGTTCTTGATTTTCACTTGATTCAAGCATGGATTCCACCTTTAAACAACATTTCAAGGCTTCTACAATCAAAGCCCTAACATAATTTAACCAAATCAAAATTTTCTCAAAATCCTAGGTCATGGCCAAATGGAATTTCACCCAATTTCAAGTAGTTTTAATCATCATACAAGCTTTAGAATTAATCTCCAACATAAAAAAACATAAAAATCTTTCATCAAATCCTCAAAATCAACAAAGCCTACATAAACCCTATTCCCAAACTCATCATATAAGCATGATCTCCATGTAATATTTATACCATATGATAGAGAATTTCAAGGGGATTAAATCTCTATCTAATAGCTTAATTCAAAAATCAATCGAGTAAACTTAAAAATAAAAAATAAAATTCTTACCTTGTAGCTATGGTGATGCACGTTTTGTGGCGGTAAGAAACTAAATATTTCTGATTTTTCTTCAATTAAAACATAATACACTTGGCTTAATCTAATATAAATGAATTTAATTCATTTAATGTGAAATTATCATTTTACCTTAATGAAACATGATACTTTCAACTTTCCAATGCACTATCATCCCTTTTAATATTCCAAAGTCAACTATGAACAAATAAAAATCTATTTTCCACTTTTGCCCAAAAACTATAATTTAGTTACTAAATTTTTCAATTTCAGCTAAATATGTAAAATCGACTTCAATTCCATTGATCCAAGTTAAATTTCACTGTTTCAAAATTTGGAAATAATATTTACAACCTTTATCTATCATCCTTCAAATTTTTGTAAAATTCTGGTTCGATCCAATTATCCGATTTTCTTTCGATTTTTACTACTTTATAGCTTTTAACACAAATTCAATATCAAAATTATGATTCCCATGGAAAAATCATTCTTGGGGTTGAAATATTCATTTACGGGTCAAAATACATAATTTTTTAAAATTACAATTTTGGTCCCTAAACTTTTCCAACTTTTTACTTTGTCACCAAACTTTCAAAATTTACGTTTTGGTCACTAACCAAAATTTAGGGTATTACAATCTTTCCCCTTAAGAAAAATTCATCCTCGAATTTTCAATATGTACTGGATGTAAAAAGATGAAGATACTGCTTTTTTGTATCTTATTCTATTTTTTTCAATCAACTTCCTTAACATTTGATTTCTCTAACGTACTTTAATAAGTACTGTTCTTTTTCACAAGTTAAATTATGAATGAATCTTAATATCCTTCAGTGTGATAACATGAGAATGATTTAATCGATGCATTAAGAAACACTTATCATTAACTTGATAAAATATCTCTTTTCTTTTCAAGTCTAAGTAAGACTTCTGTCGATCGACAACTATCTTGAAATTATCTTAAATAATATTTACCTATTTCAAAGTCCATTGTAATTCGTTCCAATTCCCACTAAGTGATGGAAATCGGTTACAACAATCAAGAAGTCACTTGATGCTCTACTTTAACTTGTTGGCATGACATACATTTAGAAACATACTCGATGCTAATTCTTTTCATATCTGCCACTACTATCGACTCTTTCCTCAATAATATAAGCATCCATCAAACTGGTCTATGGTTTCATTTTTTCCTACTTGATCTATCTTTGACAATCACTTTTCATCTTTTCTTTGAAGATCATTTACTCAATCTAACAATATAGACTTCAACTTTAATTCTGCAATCAAAGCACTATCTTTTTTTTAAAGACAATTATGCATTCAAACTCTCAGAATAGAAATGTCTTTCAGCTTTATCGAATCATTTACCACATTAGCCTTTCCTGGTGGTAGTCAATAAGTACATCATCATTCTTTAAGGGATTCAATCCATTTATTTTATTCTCACTCCTTCTAGTTAACACATACTTTTGTCTTTTGAGATCAATATAAATATAACATCACTCACCAGTGGTATATCTATGAAATGAACACAACTCATGCTAACTCAAGATCGTGAGTCAGATAATTTCTTCCCTGATTCTTAATTTCTATAAAGCATAAGCCATAACTTGTGCTTTGGCATAAACTCACATCCCAAATCATTATGAAACACATAGACCACATAGTATTTTCCAGATTAGATTACACTCACACTAGGCTTCTATCAGTATTCTCTTTAATATTTTGAAATTTTCTCGTCACCTATCAATTTATTTGAATACCATATATTTTCTCAATAGCTTGATCAAAGGGGAGACAATCATCGAAAAGTTTTTTTACGAACCTTCAATTATAACCAGTAAGTCCTAAGAACTTCGAATCTCAGAATCACTCTCTGGAATTTATCATTTGACTATGGTTTGTACTTTCCTAAAGTCTATTCTTATCCCTCAGCTAAAACCACATGGGTAAGAAATGTAATTTTAGAAAACTAGAACTCACATTTTATCAACTTAACATACAATTTTTCTCTCGAAGAGTTGGGAGAATCATGCAAAAATGTGCATCGTATTCGTCTTTAGTCTTAAAACAGACCATATTATCATCGATGACCACTACCATCAATTAGTCTTAGTATAACTGAAATACTCAGTTTATCAAAACCATAAATGCCACAGGAACATTCGTTAAACCAAACGACTTTACCATAAACTTATAGCATTCATATTGAGTCCTGAAAGCTTTCTTAGGAATATCTTCTTCCTTAATCTTTAGCTGATAATATCTAAATCGAGATTAAATCTTGGAAAACATCAATGCATCTTTTAACTCATCAAAAGATCATTAATCCTCGAAAATATATATTTATTCTTACCTTATTTTGACTGATAATAATCCATTAATAATTGCATAGACTAATCTTTCTTTTTCAAAATTAACACTAGTATATCCAAGACGACACGCTTGGTTCTGTAAGTACCCGATCTTAACAATTCTAATAACTACACCTTTAATTTTTTGGGCTCAGTTGGAGCCATTCAATACAAGGCTATAGAAATAAACGCAGTACCTGGTAATATATCTATTTTATATTTTGTACCTTAATCTGCATGTAATCTAGGTAACTCCTCTAGAAACGTATTGAATACTTTCAAACAGTTGGAATATCTCCCAACCTAACCTTAAAATTCTACATATCCTTCACATTGATTAAGAATAATTAACAACCTTGTAAAACAACTTCTTGGCAGTTACTACTAAAATCACATCAGATAACGAATTTACTTACCACTATAATCTCAGAACCTTTCGAGTTCTTTTAAATCGATCACTTTAAGCGATAATTTATTATGACATGGTAAAAGGCAACCGATCTATACAAAAATTACCATCGAAAGATAATTCTACCAAAGTTCGTCAAGACTCATCAATTTGAATTTTTAACAGGCAATTACTGCATACTAATACGACTCAATCTAGCACTCTGACCTAAAGGGTTAGTCATGTACATGTCACTTAGGGTTTATTCTATCAGAATGTTCCTTTATTTAATCAATGCAATACTTGTATATGAATAATGGTTTCTTAATTTTACATTGACACTTCCTATGATGATGATGCACCATCAAAATTAGATTAATCAGGAGGATTATAATTAACTATATTATTATCACTATCTTTCTATTCTCTAACCTGTTGTCCGATCATTTACCTTTAACATTCTATTTCAGACATTTTCTACATATATTATAGTTATTCACTTTCATTAGTAAGAAGTGACATCAATCAAATCATATACATAACATATCAGTAACAATGACATTCTAATGACATGTATACACTTTTCAGCTCGAAATAAGTTCGGTTTAACCTTAGAATCGACTAAACATACTGCTCTGATACAAAAAAAATGTAACACTCATAACCCGTATACGTCTCAAAATACGAGTTAAAGATGTTACATGACTAACGTCAATTCTTGTTATACAGATAAAGATAAAATCTGAATAAAATAAAATATAAGGGTTTATTAAATATATAATAGGATATATCGAATATTTACTTTTAACATCCAATATTAATTTGAAATATTGTAATATATATATTAATTTGAAATATTGTAATATATATCGATATTATTTATATAATATATATATTCTTAGACAATAATATTGATACCACTTGTTTACTATACTTGTTTACTATAGATTGCCATATATTGTCCGAATTTACTAATGTTATGTGTAAGCTTTAATGGCCTTATGTTTTGAAGTATCTAGCAGTAGATGTCAACATTAGATTGAGTTGAATAATTTTTTTAAATTATTCGAGTTGTATAACTTAACTTAAAAATTTTGAGTCGAATTATTCGAGTTTCTATTAATTTTATTATAATTATTTATAGTATTATGACAAGTATTTGTTCTAATTTTTTACTTTGTTTGATCATATAAGATATATAAAATATATTCTTTTCACATTATGATGTTAATATTTATTAAATACGATCTAAAATTATAAAATATATTTAGAATATTATATATTCATCAATATTTTGAAAGTAAAATATTGATGAATCAAAAAATTGATGGGAAAAAAGGATTTGAAAACAATTATAGTTAAAATATCAAAATAAGTAAAATGTAAAGTTAAGGAATTAAATGATGAGACTTAAAACAATTATAGATAAAAAAAATAGACTTAAAATAAATGATGAATTGAAAAAAAAAGAAAATTATAAAAATTTGAGAGACTAAATTAAAAAAACTAAAAATTGAGAAAATAAATTTAAAAATAAAAATTGTCAAAAAGGAATTGAAAGTGAATATATATTTAATAAAAATAAACTTAAAATAGAAGAAATTAAAAGAATAATAAATCATAGACTAAATAGTAAAATTATCAAAATACTCAACTCGAATGAATTATCAATTAGAGTTTAACTCGAATTAAAAAAAATCGATTTTTCTACATTAAAAAAATCGATTGATTTTTCGGATCCGAGTTTTGTTCATCCTACTTAGGGCACTTAGCACGGCCTTAACATGAATGAACAAGAAGGTCTGATCAATTCTATAGTGCTTACCATACATGGTCAGCTCTATTTTGAATGATAACATATGGTCAGCTTAACATACATTAAAAGAGTTCTCCATAGTGCTAGTTAAGTTTCCCACATAACCAAAAATTAAAAATTACAGGTCATAATAACAAAAGGAGATGATTTAACAATTTGGTATCGTTAAGTTTTCAACACATATAAAAGTTTAAAATTACATTTCACAACTATAACAAAAGAAAAAAGCTCTTTTGTTGTTAGTTCGGGTTCATATGTTGATCAATCTCTACCTCTATTCTATTAATTATCTACACCAGTACTATAACTATAATTATGATTTTGGGTATGCTTTGATTTAATGTTTGATCATATCTTTTCCTTGGGATCTAGGATTTATTATTAAATATCCCAAGTTGTACAAGCTTAAATATATTTTTCTTTTATTTCCTCGTTTATTTCTTTTTCATAAAGCAGAATAAACACGTCAAAGATTAAAGATTAGTCCATATTAGACTAACAACAAACTTATTATTATTCTTTCAATACTTCCTCTCATCACCTTCTAGCTCAACACGCCTCCTCAAATCCACAACATCTTCATCCATCTTCCCCTCCTTGTTTTTTCCGACCACCGTCTCCTTTATCTTCTGACCCGTCCCCTTCGCCGCATCCCAAGCTCCTTGTGCCGTCTGCTTCGCCTTACCAACAACCGTACCGGCAACCTCCTCGGTCTTCTCCGTCACACCATGCGCTCCCTCCTTAGATTTCTCCTTCCATTCGTGCGCAGTTTGCGAAGCCTTCTCGGTGCCTTCCTTTGCCTTATCTCTCGCGCTTTGGGCAATCTCTTTGGTATCCTGCGCGTACTCGTTAGCTTTCTGTCTCATCGTCTCGTTGGCGCTTCTGGAAGTCTCCGCCGCTCTGTCCGTCATTTCATTCGCTTTGTCGGAGGCCATTCCGGCGGTTTCTTCCGTTTTTTCCTTGGCGTCGTGTGCGTAGTCTTCATCGGATGAGGTATCCACCCTGTAGGCGAACTCAGCTCTGGGGTTTGCGCTTTCATATGCATCTCTACCCTGAAAAATTATCAAGCCATGAAAATCATCATTTAAGAAAACTCCATAAACTGACGCTTCTTAACAATTAGTAACGCAAAAGAATCATACCTCGGGGCGTTTCGAGGCGGCGGTGGATAAGCAGATTCGTGAGACTTTTATGGAGGGTCGAAGAGAAAGGGTTTTAGGGAACGCTTTCGAAAGCTGGAACATGGCGGTCTTAGCTATTAACGAGGCAGCCATTGTTGATGATCTTTAAGATTCTCCTTGCAAACGTTGTCTTCTTTGGCTATAGCTTCTTCTTCTTCTTTTTCCAGTTTTTAACCCTAAATCTTTGCCATGCAAACGGGAACTATATGGAGGCAGAGAAGGGGAAGGTGGCAGCGTAATTGAGTGACAAGTTTTAGCACCACGTGTTGGACATGTGCTGTCTTTAGGACTTAGTGGATTCAAAAAGTCAACACGTGTTTTTTCATCTTTTATTATTTGTCTCATATTTAATAATTAGTAATAAATAATTATTTGTTAATTTAATTTAATGATAAATGACATGAAACCAAATAGTTTATGTGATAAAATAATTGTTGTTATTTTGTAAAGATCAAATTCGAGCACTATAAATGTTAGAAATGTAAACGTTCAATATCGAAAAGTTGAGAGTTATATTTGAACAAATATTTCGTGTATTTATCCTAAATTAATAAAAAAATCATAATAAATATAATTTGTATCATTTATTAACTTAATTTAATTTATGATAATATAATTTTTATTTTTGTTTTTAATTAATTTAAAATAATGATACCATATGATATATGATGTCATTATTTTTAACATATAATAGTTGAAAGACGAAGTACAATTATTATTTAAAATTTTAAATTATCATATATTTTAAATATTTTTATTAATAATTTATTTATTTTTAAAGTTTTATAAAATTATTTTCTTTTAAAATTTTTAATGTACATTCCTTTAACATTGTATCATGTCTGTACCTACCTATGATTATATCATGTCCGTACCTATATATATGATTGGTCTAAAAAAGATTATCTACACATAGAAATAAAAAATTACAACAAAGGTTGATAATTGAGTGTTTTATTTATGGGATGTTTATACAAAAATTTCACATTAGATTTACATGAAGAAAACCAAAAAAAAAATGGTTTACTTATGCCTTTAGTCTCTGTATTCTATAGGTTTTCAAAAGTAATTATCTATTTTAATTCGAAGATATTAGTATCTCTAGTTTTTATTTCAAAATTAAAAAAATCAAGTGATTTTCATGGTAAATGAATTGTTGTTATTCTTTGAGGACTCGAGTTCAAGTATCATAAATGTTAGGGGTGTAAACGTTTAATGTCAAAAAGTTAAGAGTTATATTTAAATAAATATTGTCTTATACTAATATTAATAAAAAAATCTAATTGTTAATGAACTTTGGTTAATTTTGAATACGTGGAATTCTAACATTCAAATGTCTGATTTAAAATTTAGTCAAATTGACAACACATTACACATGTTTGAATTTAATGTAAATCATTTAGGTTGTAATTTTTAAACAAGTAGTGGATTACTTTTTAAGAAGTAAAAGGACTAAAACTGAAAAAGAAAAATTGACATCAAAACGATAAGGCAATGAGTCCACATCGCTCACCCCCTTCATTAAGAACCAGAAGTGGGAGAACATGTCAAGATGTATTGTTGCCCACTCCATTCATTAAGATCGTTGTCTCTATCCATTGGTTCATTGGAATGGTGACTGAAATATATCCCATACTTGTATTAAATGCCACATCGATAGATAAGATATAATTGAAGGACTAAATTGAATAAGTATATGATATTTTATCTTATTTATTTAATGACCGGTTTTAATTTTATCGAATAATATAAGATTAAAGAATAATAAAATTCTTTCATCAAATATATATGATTATAAACTTTTTAATGTGTTCAGTGACGAGATAATATAGGGACAAAAGTAGGTCATAATCACCCTTAAATATGCATTGTATCTAAAGAAATAGAAGGATAAATTACGCTTTTAATATTTAAATGATTAGTTTTGTTATATTTTGATACTTAAACTTTTATTTAATATTAACATTTAATTTTTTTTATTTTAATACCCGCTATTAAAAATTTAACGGACAATTTTACCAGCCTTAGGGTCTATTATTAGACTTAAAGATTACACGTGGCATTAACAGAGTAGTCTGGTGGTTAGATTGCTAAGTTGTTATCATTCTGTTTGATGGTTATTAGGGTTGGCTGAGTGCATGTTTTATTCATGCATGCTTTGTTCATGCAAATATAAATACGTGTGTTAGCTATACCTCTTGTACACAGAAATCAATAATAACATCTTTTGGTTTTTTCATCCTTTTATCCATAAGTCAATATGGTATCATTCGTCAAGGTTCTGAGATATTCTTTTTCACGTTTTTGTTAGCTTTTTTTTTTCTAGCGCTAATGTGAATAATGGTTCCAGTCAGCAAACTGCTGACTCCATCACGATGGATTCTTCCTCCAAAAGTATGAAGAGTTTCTCTCACAAGAAGGTAATGTAGTGACAAAAAGGATCAACCATGGTGGCCTGCTCTAAAAACCCCACAAGACCTTATTAGTATCATCAAAACTATTATCTGGGTCACTTCGGGACACCACGCGGCCGTGAAATTCGGCCAATACGCATATGCAGGCTACTTTCCTAACAAGCCTACCATTGCTCGAACCAAAATGCCGACCGAGGACCCTTCGGACGAAGAATGGAAGTTGTTTGCGGAGAATCCGGAAGCCGTACTCCTCCGATGCTTCCCTTCTCGAATGCAAGCGACAAAAGTGATGGCGGTTTTGGATGTGTTATCGAATCATTGGCCGGACGAGGAGTACTTGGGAGAGGAAATGGAGTCATCATGGGGTGAAGATCCGGTTATAAATGCAGCATTCGAAAACCTTAATGGAGATTGAAGGGATCATTGATGAAAGAAACACAAACAGCAATCTGAGAAACAGAAATGGAGCTGGGATTATACCATATGAGCTTTTGAAGCCATTTTCTGGGCCTGGTGTTACAGGGAAAGGAGTTCCATGCAGCATATCAATATGAAAATCTCATCTTTCATGTAATCTAATAAAGGACATGTAATCCTATTCGAATATTTGTTTAAATCGTCTAATTAAATTAATAAAATATCCTTTCCTTAAAAACCAAAGTTGAGAAATATTTGAATTCTAATAATTATTAGATAATAAAAATTCATGAATTAAGTAGATTTCTGAATGCCAACATGGCACTAAATATGAAAATCTAGAGTTACACTTTTTATATTAAAATAATATAAGTAAAATATACATTATTTAATTATGTATTTAGTAAAAATATTGTGTTTATTTTAAAAAAAATTATAAATAAATCACTTAACTAAAATATTATTATAAATAAATCATTTTGTCGTTAAAAATGAAACAAACATCATATGTAACAGTATAGTAATAATTTTAGTCCTAAACTTATACATTCTATCAATTTTATCATAGAAATAATCTAATAAATTTAGTTGTTCATAATTTATCAATTTGTTTTTTTAATAATATAAAACCAAACGAGCATGTTGAATCAATCTGATAATTAGACAATTACATTCTATCATGAAGCAGTAATAGGTTGTTGTTAAAATATTATTACATCATAAAAATAATATAACATTTCTATGAAAATAAAAGGTAATTTAGGGGAAAATACAAATGATAAAATTTTTAAATATAAATTTTTAAATATATTAAATTATTTCGAATTAAAATTAAATTAATATGTTATAAAAATTTTAAGGGAAAATTGTTAATTATACTTATTATTCAATCTAATGTTTGATTATCAGTAACCTATTTGTTCAAATGTCTCATTAAATAATTTGTTTATAATAAATACTTTAATGAGTAGAATATTTATAACTTTTAAAAGGAAAAATGATCCATTTATTATTAAAAACATAGTTTAGTGATCTAAAGTGTATTTTACCCATAATGTGTTTGATGGACCGTCACTACATTATATCCTTTTAGACACTCTTCATTCTCAAAGGGGAAAACGATCAGTTTATAGTCACGCTTAAACACTTATCCATGGCAGCGACCACAGCAGCGGTAGTCCCAGCTCTCTCTTCCATCTCCTTCCGTTCCTCAATTTATTCCATTTCCTGTCTCTTCGCCAAATCCTCCAAACCCTTTTTTCTCTCCGCCTCCCTTTCCCTCTCTCTCGCACCACCACAAGCCAAAGCCTCCGACAAGGACACCGCCTTCTTCGACGACCTTGACCCCGAAGAGGAAGTCTTCTTCGACCCACCAACACCCCCTGAAGGTTTCATTCCTCCGCCCTCTTTCGACGAGGACCCCGAGGAAACCGAGGACGAAATCGCTGCCGCTTACGAGGAGCTCTACGGCCCTGCCTACAGTGGAATCTCAGTTTTGGGCAATGATGTTTTCGTGATGGATTCCAAAGTAAAAAAAACGAGTGCGTTCGGGAAAGTTAAGAAAGATAAAGTGAAGGATGGGTTTGAAGAACGAGTGGTTCAAGTTAGGCGAGTTACTAAAGTGGTTAAAGGAGGGAAGCAATTGCATTTTAGAGCCATTGTTGTGGTTGGCGATAAGCAGGGGCAAGTCGGTGTTGGCGTTGGTAAAGCCAAGGAGGTCATCGGCTGTTCAGAAATCGGCGGTGAATGCTCGGAGGAATATTGTTACTATTCCTATGACAAAGTACTTGACTTTCCCACATCGGTAAGGACTTCAAGTTCCTCTCTTTTGGTCAATTGGGGAAAAAAGCCTTTTCTTTTACCATTGCTTAAATGGGGTTGTTTTGTTGAAATTGTAAATGTTGTCTGGGTGCATAGCAAATATTTCATTTTTGTGTTCAATTGACATTTGCTAAGTAATGTCATTGGTAAGAGGTTTCTTGAGGAACTTGATTTAGATTTTAGCTTGTTTATGTGTCTACCATTGCATTCTAATGTCTGGCGGTGCTTGTTGCCGATAAAAATAATGCTAAACGTAGGCTTTTGTCATCCGAAACCAGCTATGGCAATGTTCAGCTAACCATAGTTGTAAATAGTAAAAGAAGGCATGCTAACATGCGTTTTCACGAATGTCATTGGGAAATGACTGTCAGATCTGAAGGTGATTATGGGGCAGCAACGGTGATGCTTAGACCTGCTGCACCTGGTACCGGAGTTATCGCTGGAGGTGCAGTGCGAATTGTTCTTGAAATGGCGGGTGTTGAGAATGCGTTGGGTAAGCAACTTGGAAGTAAAAATGCCCTTAACAATGCCAGAGCTACGATTGTTGCAGTGCAGAAAATGAAGCAGTTCCGCGAGGTTGCTCAAGAAAGAGGGATTCCGATGGAAGAGCTGTGGAAGTGATGGCCCTGGAATCAGCTTCATCATTTACCATCAACCTTTGGCAATCTAGATTCTCTAGACGAGGCTTTGGAGTTGACCGGTAACAAAATCCAAACATTTCTTTTTAAGCACTTGTATGAGAAAATTTCCTTTTCATTTTCTCTGTTCTTGGATTTGTGTCAAACGCTTAAACTCAATTGCTTGAAACTAGCCACATTTTGCAAGTTTATTGATTGTAGTCTGCAAAATCCTTTGCATTTTACCATGAATGTAATGTCTACTTCCGGCACATCCCTGTCATTCATCTCCAACATTCTTCCATCGAATGGTTAGGCTGTCATCACCCGGCTTTGTTATTAGGTTTGTTATTAGCATCCAATAAACTCTGCGAAATGCAATGAAACGACTTCTGTCCCTGCATCATTATAGATGGACTTCACACCCTCAGTTCTGAAAATTTAAGGAGCTGCGTGCAGTGAATTCTTGTACTTAACACCTCCGCTGGTTATCTTCATTCTTCTCCACACCCTGTTGAAAGGGTAATCTGTAACCATACGGCTACTACGAAACAAAACATGTACCGCACACCAGCCTAGAACAGTTTCCTGCCAAAACCAAGACCATATCATTTAGGAAATGACATTCTGAAAGCTTTTGATATTGATATCTGATCTATTCCACTGACCTGAAAATGGAACAGATTGAGAAAATTACGAAATGGTCATGTCTTGAGCAGTACAGATATAGAAACAGTCAAGGAAGACGACGGAGAATTAAGAAAATTAGAAGTAGGGTTAGGGATTCTAATTGAGAAAATTGAGAAAATTGGGAGTACAAAAGAAAGAGGGACATGTGGAAAAAGGCACGTGAGGAGCACATGAGACTTGATGAAAAGCTCAGCCACTTACCTGACGGACTAAATGAGCAACCTGGAAGCCTAGCCCAATCAGAGGAAGAAGTCACACCAGCAAGGCAGCAACCCTGCAATGGAATCATTCTGTTAGGTTCAACCATACAGTCAGCTGAAAAATTGGTTAGGATTGGTTCAGTGTAAACAAGTAAAATGTGTATTCAACCAAGGGAGAAATTATTTGAATGATGAATGAAATTCCTCTTTTTTGAATTCTCCTCTTTTCTTTGATCTCTCAATCTTCTTCTCCGCTTTTAATTCTCTAAGAGAATTCTTAGGTTCATAACAAATTGGGATACTGTCTAACAATTTTTGTTGATTAAAGGGTGATAATCAATTAATTTTGCCAGACATCGACTACATAGCAGTCACATTACTATTATATTGGGTAAATTATGTGTTTAGTATCTAAACTATTAGTTTTTGGTCTGTTTTAGTACTTAAACTTTTAGTTTTTTTAAAATCATACTTAAAAGTCTAGTTTTTGTTTATTTTAGTACATCTTTGTTAAAAACATTAGTTCTTTGTTTCATTTTAGTACTCTATTCAAAATTTAACGTTAAATTATAGAAAAATTGAAAGTTTTGGTATTAAAATGAATTAAAATAATTGTTTAGGTACTAAACATGTTAATTTTTAATTGCGGGTATTAAAATAAAATAAAAATTAAACTTTAGATGTAATTTTGAGGAAATTAAAAGTTTGGTATTAAAATAAATTAAAATTAATAGTTTAAATATTAAATACGCCGCCTATTTTTTTACAAAGGAAGAGTCTCGGGAACTATTGAACCTATAAGATATATTTACAACTATTCATGCAAGTATTGCTCTGCTCACCGAACCTGACGTGGGCATAACTTGTATAAAATCTCCCAATCTACCGTTGTGCAACTAGCTCCAGTCACAATAATCCACTACAACTTCCAATTGCGCTTGTCTAGGGCCTACCAAAGGTGGCTGTGGGATACACTGCCCTTTATCCTCGTCTCTAATACCATTAATGCTAGATCGTCTCTAACCTCATAATCATTTTCCCAAGATCTGAAAGCATTCAGTCTTTTTTATTGAAGACCATTCCTTGTTTAGTAATTATATAAAAAAATTGATTAACTTGGAACCTGACCCATTTTTTATTATAAGATTCTATTGTAAAGAATCCAAATCAGCAGTGTCTGCCAAACACACCACGTTCTGTCATCAATTCAGAAACTTTCTGCACCATATGGTCCATCTATTTTGAACATCATTCACTCAAATAAAAATTTTCAGACATAAGAAAACAAAACAAAACTTCTGACAAACAGCCTTATTTCAGAATCTTTATATATGTAATTATTTACCCATAAATCTAAACTTCATGTGAAAGTAGCACGCTCATTATTTACACAACCTCAAGTGCTGTACCATGCACATCGAGCAAATCTTCTGTCAACATAGACGCCCTCGGCTTCGTTGACTGGCTGCTGGAACATCCCACCGGCAAGGACTGCGTCGTTGTATTCCTTTCGCACGATTTTAGCCACTTGGCTTGCATGTATCCTTGTTTCCTCCATGGCCCCATATGCATTTTCTTTTCCTTCATGCATTTCTTGGCTGCCCAACACAAGATTTTGATCACATTGCTTAATCTCTCTACTTTACCCACGAAAACTTCTGGTAATCGTTGCACTAAGCGATTGTAATCTTCACTTGCTCTTGCGATCTCAAACTCTGCCCTGAAATTCAACTCTATGATTACCCTTACTTCCCCTTTTCTCGAATTCTCTATCACATCCAAAAACCTGTGGTTCCCTGTACAAATATGAAACCATAAATTCAGTTGAAACCCACCAAGAGAAACCAATGTAATTGATGCGCTAATATGATAAGGTAAGATCCGATTAGACCATGTTTTATACTGATTTATAATCATTGGATTAAGAGAGATGAATGATCGAGACATGTTATGTAACGGTCGGTAACTGATTTTCACACATAAATTTGTGTAGGATTCGAACCCAAAAATCTATAAAATGATTGATATATAGATAGATAAATAGATACCTGAAGGGATATCTGGAGAGCTTCGCCATTTAGTCCGGCAAATGGCGGTGTTGAAACCGGCGTTTTGGAGGCGACTAGAAACCTCTCTCATGAGACAAATCCGACAATCCTCCGCCATTGATGATTTCCCACAACCGCAAGCTGTACTTTCCCTCTGAATATCTTTCAAAGCTTCTTTCGTGGCGTTCCGAATTCTCAATTCTATGGAGTTGGTCCTAAACAATGTTTGCTGCAAAGCCTGGTGCTGGCTCTCCCAAAAACTCTTGCTATTTTCATTGCTTCCTTCATCGTTCTCTTTCTCATCATCGTTGTCGCCATCATCACCGTCATCGTCACTGCGATCTACCGTTCCATCATTATTGCCTCGAAATCTATCTCCGTCGCAGTTTCCCAGGATTCCCAGGTCACTGTCCTCGAGAAACTCGAACTCCATATCGGACCCAAACGAATCGGGTTGCTCCGGGAACTTGAATTCCGGGCGGCAACCGTACACTAAATTCCGGTGGTTCAATGGGAACCTGGTTGCAATGGCGGCCATCGGATTTCCCCCCCCCCTTATTTTTTGGAATTTTTTCGTAAACTGGGCGAGTTTAGTAGGGGACTATGGGGTAGGTTTTATAGTAGTATAAGATTTAGGGGACAGAGGACCGGGTTTGAACCGGATTAGGACAGCGAGGCGCCGCGCATATGAGATGGAAGAGAAGTTTGGTTCCAATGTGGCGTTATGTAATTGGGTTAATTGTGGATCGAGTCAAGCATTTCCGGACCAGACAGCGAGGATCCACGTCAACAGGGGGCAATAATTTGGTAATCTGATCTATTCTAGATATACTCCCGAATATTCACGTCCCACACTTTTTTGTTCTTTTCTCAATATTCATTTCTTATAATATACAAAATTACAATAATGTTTTCATTTTTTACATTCAAATAATTATGTTTAACCACATTTCCATCCATAACGTGTTAAATATTATAATGATCTATTGTTATTATGTGAACAAAATAATATATTTCTAGTTTTATTTATGTTTAAAATAAGATATTTTGATATTTAAGATTAATTTAAATTTTAAATAACGATTTAGTGAAATTTCATATGGTTAATTAGATCAAAATTTATCTCTAATGATTATGTATCATTAAAAATATAATTTAATCTCAATCCGATAAATTGTAATCAAATATCTTATAAGTTTGAATCTTTTAAAATTTTAAGTTGGATTGAATTTAGTTGTAAGGTGAAAATCCTAGACTTGTAAACCAACAATAATAATATATTATTTTCTATTCATTTAAAGATAACTGTTATAATATTATTATCTATATTTTTAATTAAATTCTTATTTTATTAAATGAAAATGACTTTATTTTATATTAGTTTCAAATTAAATGTGAATTTTTATTTTAAAATTTTATTTGAATTTGAATAGAATAAAAGCTCTAAAAACTTTAAACAATTCTTATTTTTTAATGGAAGGAGTATGCTTATGAGAAGGGATTGAATTTACCGAAAACTTGGCTATGACCATTGGACATAGCCATTTCTATGTACTAGAAATACTCAAACCCAACGTGAATAACATTTTTTCCGAAAATATTTAAAATTTGGAACATATTATGTATTATCTATTATTATTTAGGCCCTAAAAGTAGGCCTGGAAACGAACCAAACGCACACGAACAGATATATGTTCATGTTCGTTCATTTAATAAATAAATGAAAATAAACGAACACGAACATAAATGAACAATTTTTTTTGTTCATGTTCGTTCATTAAGGAATATAGTTTGTTCATGTTCGTTCATTTAATAAATAAACGAATACGAACATAAATGAACACGAACATAAATGAGCATAAATGTTGGAGACCCTTTCTTCCATTGTTCTTTCATGAAAAATAGTCGACAATGCAAATCAACCAAATCTACAGTGATAAATAGCGTAAAGCTGATTAGCAGTTATGAAATGTTTGAAGATATCAAATATTTCGATCGATCTTTTAAAGATATTAAATGATTCACACGACTTTAATTTAACACTATAACATTTATCTTAGTGGTTCGTGATTACATATGAACAATCATTTTCAATACATTATTCTAATAAATTTGTCGGCTAAAAGTTTTGTGACATCAATGTCAGACTGTAGTAAGATTTGTTAATAATGGTCCTTTCCATTGGCAGAGTAGAAAATTTAACAGCATGAAGATTTTGAACGATACAAATTGGACTACAAGGCAATAACATAGATCTGAAATCCCTCCGATGCTACATAGCTAACTGATATTATTGCTAAACCACCATTCAAAATTTTAACGTACCTAAAATCTACTCAATAACTAAAGGTCACATAAGAACTATGAAAACAAAAGTTCATTGTCAAAGTGTATTTTCTACTTATTAATGGGTTCTTCCTAGAAAACCCATTACTTATTCTATTATATTCTTTTTCAGAAATTACATAGAAACATTTGTTTTGTTTTCTGGCAAATTCTATATATTTTTCTCTTTACTGATGCTCATATACTTCTGATTGTTACATTTATCTTCCCATCTGTTTCTAGAAAGAAGTATGATGTTTTCTTGAATTATAGATATGAAGATACCCACAATAACTTTACATATAAACTATTAAGCCAAATAAAATAAGAAAGAGATGAAAACAGACCTGTAAAACTTCAGATTTCACTATAATATAACTTATTTTGAAGCTTTCACCGATCATCTCCATTCTAATGAACACTAGGTTTGGGAAAAAAAGGAGGAAAATGAATATAGGTGCGAGGTGACTCACGGGTTAACATATTGGATTTAATCTCCAAATAAAATTGGGTTAATTATAGAGTTGGTCATCAGAATATAAGATTAATTAATATTTTTAAGATACTTACAATTTGGTCACCAAAATTGATTTAAGAAGATTAGATATACATAAATAAATGAATATAACCGAATGAATATAAACAAACATAACCAAACGATTCATGAACGGTTCACTGAACGATTCACTGAACGATTCACTGAACGTTCAGTTAATTTTCAGGCGTACCTAAAAGATGAAAATAGTATTAATTGGTTCCTATCCACTATATGGATACCGAAATGGTGGGGTCAGATACAATATGGAAGAGACAAGATTGCTGTGATTGAAGATGAAACGTGGCCAAATCGTGGACATCTGACGTGGAGGTTTATCCGAAATACAATGGTCCCCCTTTTGCAACTCATTTTTGTTGCTTTCACCCAACAATAATTATTTTTGGAGCCTTTGTGCTTCCCTCAAAAAATAATAATCATTAGGTATTATTAAATTGGGATTGGGATTAATAAAAAAAAAAAAAAGAATTACTGTAAAGCAAAACGCGGCGTCTTGCCAATGGTTACGCTTATTATTCCTTGGCATCTTATACGAGAATATTCCTCTAAGTTTAACTACAAGAGAGTATAGTTGCTTTGTTATTTCGATTGCTGCAATAATTGGAACAGTTAGAATAAAAAATAGTATTATTATAAGTTATAATTTAATTAATAATTATATTTTAATTTAATGAAAATAATTTTAATAATAAAAATATTATGAGACATAAAAAATAATAAATTTATAGAACAATCTACATATAATTTGTATAAATAAAATTCAACTATAGACTTTTATTTTTATTATTTAAGTTTTATTTTATCACGTTTAAAAAGCTATGTAAAAATGAAGTGATCATTAATCTAATTGTTTGCAAATTAATAAAATAAAAATACTAGTGTTTCACGACTTTTATGTCGGCATCATGTGAAAAAATGTGTCACGTTATAATTATTCAGAACTGCCATGGTTGTTGGGAAAAAAGAATTATATGAATTATATTTATTGAATTTAGCTGTTGTAACATATATTATTAATAATTGTTTTATTTTAGTGGTTAAATGATATTAAACTCCTTTATTCAAATCCTTTTTAATTATAAGAGAATTTGTCACATATGCTATATGTAACACCTTAATCCAATCCGACTCGAAATTCGGATGATTAGATTGTTACACGAAACCATCTAAATGGTTAACTATTTTTAAAATGTTAGACCAATTTAACATTTGAACATAATATAAATACCAAAATATAATACAGTACAAAGGAAACTCCCAACAACAATCTCTGAAAATACATAAGGGAAAAACAAAGTTTACGACTCAAAAAAATAATAAGGATCTATGGCAATACATGGCCACTATAATACTTGAAAAGTACTATGCAAAATGAACAAGTCTGGAAATCCCATTCTGGCAACAAGCTCCTCAACAGGCACCTTAAGACATGCGCATAGAAACACGTTCCATACGTTGAGCTCGCAAGCTCAGTGACACATAAATAACCTACTATACTACATAAATCCAACATATAAGCATGCTACAAGTACATTATGAACATTTGCATACACTATCACAACAATAATAGTAAGCATCATGGTGTAGGTCGGGGTCACTTAGCATCACAGAACTCACACCCCTCTTTCCATACTAAAGAACCTTAGGCAAAACCTAGGTCACACAACATCATCATCTCCATATCCCTTAAGTTAGGTCCAAGTCACATAGCATCAGAACCTCGCCAGACTAGTCTACTCCTCTAGAGTACTCAGATATGGTCGTGTCACTTAGCATCAACACAACATCCAACTAGTATTTAAAGTGCATCAGCACTGAATTGGATATATCCGAATAATCCCTTACTTAACTATACAAATGTTTTACATAAGTAACTCGGGTGTCCTAAATGTTTTACCGAGCATCAAACAAGGCATAAGCCTTATGGAACCTTACCTCATAAAGATCTTATGTTATCACACAATTCATTAAGGTTTTCGCTTGTAAGCCTATTAGAAGGTTTCTGTTTGTAAGCCTATTAGAAGGTTTCTGCTTGTAAGCCTATTAGAAGGTTTCCTTCACCAAACTCCTTGGTTTCATCTCTCAATTCCAAGATATTCTTAAAGACTAAAACTTCACGATGATACCGATATGATGTTAAGTAAATACTATAACAAAGTGCAAGCATACATTATCGTTCAAGCAATAAAGTGGTAGCTCAAGAAAACTACGAGTGTCGAATCCCACATGAAGCAAAACAAGTTACAAAAGAGTTAAGTGTAGGAGAATGATTGATTTGGTAAACTAACAAACAAATAACATAATAGAAAAATCAGGGTAATGGAAGTAGGAGAATGGTGTAACAAACAATAGAGCGATCAGACCAATGAACCTATAGTGTTGTTTTACTTGGCAGCTGACAAAATGATTATGTTGTAACAATATATTCATAAATTATGCAACGATTAACCTTTAACCTAACGAATTTAACTCTCATTAAAACCTTAGATTAATTAGTTAACAAAGCATAACATTGGTTTCCTATATCTCTATACATAATTGTTTACTCAAGTAAAACACCAACGTTGGGACAAAGATAGTATGTAATCTCAATTACTTTTATCTCTAAAAATAACTAAGATCATCATATAATAAGATGTAATTATCTCTAATAAACATCCAATAAACATGCAGTTTATAAACATATAGTTTAAAACAAAAACCAAGAGTCAAGCAATTCAC